CACACACACACACACACACACACACAAAAACACAGCTTAACCGTATTTTAGCATTCATTATCAGAAAGATTCCATTGTAAATCATTTTCTAGTATATAACGATATAATTTTGTACATAAAAAAAGCATAACACCATAACAATTTTAGTTAATAAAATACCAATTCATTCATTTAACAATGCATTTTAATAACATAGAACCAAAACTACTTCTAAATGTTTTCTACACAGTATAGTATTACATATTTACTCTTAATTATTGGACACAAAACAATGCAAAGTTACTAAGTCAAAAATAGTAAATCCTACTATGATTATAGTGCTATCAATATTAAAGATAAATCTACAAAAAATATATAAGAATAAAGAGATGCTAAATGAGTACAGGCTTTTAAAAAGCTTACACTTTAAAGGTTAAGTAAAACTAAAATTTCAGTGAATGACCACACTGTATTCAGATATTACTCACAATATGCAAAAAAGCATTCTACTAAGTACTGGCATTAAAGAAAAAGAAATAGTCCCTATCTTAAGAGTACAACTATTGTACTTGTCTCAGAACACATAAAAACAAAGTATTATAGGAGTTCAAAGGAAGAAAAGATTAACTGTAATAGGATGCAGCAAAGAAATGCTCAAAGGAAAACGTAAAATCCAAAACTATAAAATTATTGATAACAGTAAAAAAGTAGAAACTAAATATTTATCAAATGGGAAAGGTTTATATAAATTATAAAACATTCATAGAAAAATGTCTGCAATATATTAAGAAAGCAAGAACATAAAAACGCTACTATATAGTATAATTTCATTTTTTTAATATATATGTGATTTATGTCTATACTTTTTAAAGCAGAGAGTAAATGAAACTGATATTGCTGATTATTTTTTTGTACATACTTTCTATACAGTCTGAACTTTTTATTCAGTGAGTATATATTACTCACTGAACAAACTTTTATAAAAGCTAAAAAAATCTTCATTTTGAGACATTAAGGGTATTTTTTGCATGTTTTAACATAACGTCAATGTCATTATTTACTAAACAAGAAATTCAATGTACAGTAACAGAAATACCACAGATTTAGAATCTAAAAAGTCAGAATTTCAATTTCTACTCTTCATTCTTTGATCATGTAACCTTGGGCTATTTCCCCATCTGTAAAAGTTAAGTTATAATACCTATTTTATAGAGTTGCTACGTGGATTAAATGAGTAATATACACAAAATGCCTTTAAGTATAGTGCCTTTCACATTAAGAGATTAACAAACATCAATTCCTCTCATCATTAAAAAATAATCTTCATCTTAGTATACTGACTTTGGTGGGGAATGGTGAAGAAAACTAAATTCATCTCCAAGCCCAGACTAATTCATTAACAAATCTTCACTTGAGCCCTCAACACAGTCTGAGAAACAGGCAAAGCTTTGACATTCAACATGTTTAATTTCTCAACCTATGCCAGAATCTCCACTCGAAGAAACATCCACCACTAAGAAATATCTCCCAAGCTTCAGTGTAACAAGAGTCTAATAACAGTTAACATACACTGAGTGCATTCTATGTGTCAGGCAACTGGACAACAGCCTTACAGGAGTTATTTATTCATCACTATAACTATAAAATAGGTACTATTGATATGTCTGTCTTACAGGTAAGGAAACAATAACTGTTGTTGTTACAGGTGATGGAACCAGGATAACAACCAAAACTGACTGACTCTGGACCCCATGTGTTCACCCACTGGGCAAACTGTCTCCACTTGAAGGCTCTTAGGAACAAGTCCACTGAAGGCAGCTATTACAACAGTTCTACATATCAGATGGATCATTCTCACAATTAGTCAAAAGGCACATCCTTAACATTTCCTTATATAGTTCTTCTGACGCACTGACATGCCACTTCCCATGATGATCTTTTTCTTGATGTGTATTAAGTAATTCAACACTGAGAATCAGATAACTGAATTGTACAGCTTTTACAACTAGAAGAGGCTTTCAATATCACTTAGTTCAATCTGTTGTTTTACAGATGAGTTAAACAGGCCCAGTAATTTTAAGTCAGTTGCCCACAAGTAATTAGTGGCAATCCAGTGCTCTCAAACAATACATGAACACTACATCACCTCCCCCAAAGCGAGTATAACCTCCTTGCAAAGTAAAAATCAGATTTTGTAAATAACTGTTATAACCAAGTATTCAGTTCATAAAGAACATAATTTCACTACTAGCAAAATTAAAAGAAACTGATTTAAGACTACCTTAATTTTTGGTGTGAAAGTGTACCTTTTAAACTGTTCATTTAAATTAGAAAAAAGAACAATCTGACAAAGAGAACTTAATACTTACCCAATTATCATGTGCTTTTTTCTCATGGGAGATAATCTGAAAAAGAAATTCATTAAAATACTACTGATTTTCTTAAGTAAAACATCTCACACTACCACTATGATTTAGTACACAACTCATAAACTCATAACTCAAGCATCTCTGAAAGTCATTAACATTTTTAAAGCAAATTTTCATATATACATCATCTATTCTATCATTTTAAAAGAAAAACTGAATGTAAGAAAAAAAAAGACAATTTTTGCCTAGTATATTTCTGTTTTATGCAATAATGAACTACAATGAGTTGCTGACTAAGAGATAATTAGGCCAAGTTGAGTATGAAACTCCAATGTCAATATGTTTGTTTATTTATTTAATCCACATTCCCAAAGAAGCAGGAAACATGGCAATTTTAAACAAGGTCTTTTGGGACACCTGGGTGTCTCGGTCAGTTGACTGTCTGACTTTGGCTCAGGTCATGATCTCATGATTCGTGAGTTTGAGCCCCACATTGGGTTGGCTGCTATCAGCCTGTCAGCACAGAGCTGGCTTCAGATCCTCTGCCCCCCTCCCTATCCCCCTCCTCTGCTTGTGCTCTCCCCAAAAATATTTTTTTAATAATAATAAATAAATAAACAAGGCACTTTATTCCAGAATATTTGGCTCCCTATAAATGTTCCACACCCACACGCAAAACCTCAAGAGAGGAGGTACACTATCAAGTAACTACACTCCTGCATCAAAACAGAGATACTAATTCAAACAAATCAGAATTATTCTAATTTACACACACACACACACACACACACACACACACACACATATGCACACACATACACACACACATATACCTGCCCTTGATAAGAATGAATGGTTCTCTCCAATTCTTCTTCAAGATCTTTGGCTCGCTTTCTACAAGGAATAATCATTCTACTATTAACATGTACTAAGAAATGACAGAACACACTAGATCTACTGAAAATATTAATTAAACACCTGGAGTGCTTTGTTTAACGTAAAAATAACTCCAGAACTCCACACTAATCATCTTTAAGAGGTTCTAAAGTAGTATATTTTTCCTAATATAATTTTAATATTAATTATGCTTTAAGATACTACTGCTTGGGTTTACCTAAAACCACAGGTTATGCAAAGATTTATATGGTATACTGGTTTGTTTTTATTTTTAAGAAGCATGAACTTGGAAGAATTATTCAGATGTCTATAATCTTAACAGAATTCTAGGAAATTAACAAGTTATGTGAAATAAAATGTTACTTACTACCTTTATACGACTAATAAGATAATTTCTTCTTTTGGATAAAATCCAAGTTTACTCTTCCTAATGTAAAATGAAATATCACAACTATTTGGGATACCGCTAAATCTTGCCCCTTACTTTCTCTAGGTATTTTATTATTTCCACGAAACTAATGACAAATGAACCAAAGGAAAAACTAGACTTATCAACACTTCTTCAGAAATGACTCACTCTTTGTGAGGCATACTTCTCAAATTAATATTGTATGTATTCTTCCCCATTAGAACCAAAGAGGAAAAACTTTGAAATTAATGACCATTCAAAAATCTTCTGACATTAACATAAAATAGGATTTCCCTATTTTAGTATCTTGAGAGATTTAAAATCATGTACACTGAAAAGAAAACATTTTTCCTTTTTATATTTTCTGTATAATTGAGTGATACAGCAAGACAGCCAAATGAAAAATAAAGACAAATATCTTGGGTTTATTTTGGGGGCTGCTTTATTATTTTTCCTGTTATTAGGTTTTTGGATACCTTCCCCACCTCAAAAAGAAAGGAGTAAAAAATATTCAATACCTATAGGTCTCCAGTTCTTCAGCTGCATGACTGATCTTTTCATCTGCTTTGGAAAGTTTCTCCTCTTTCTCTAATCGGTAATTTTCCTCAACTGTTAATTTCCTTGAAACAAAAAGTGGTTTGTTTTTTTTTACTGTATGTGGTAAGATAATCAATTGTATCTTTTTAATAATATCATAACTTGTGCTTCCTATAAAACAATTTGCATAATACCTCTAAAAACATCACATGCAAGAAAAAAAAGGTAGCTGTGTAAATATTCCTGGTATGGAACTTAATATAAAACCTTCTTGTCTAATATAGTACTATTAACATAAAAGATTCATGGGTTTTCTATAAGACTTTTATCATTAAAATAAGATCAAAGGTAAATACTGGTAAAAGCTATCATGACTACATATTACTTATCAACCCTTCTTGTACAAACCAGCATTACATTTATTAGACAAGAAGTCACCAAGTAATGAACTGAATTTCAATAATTTTCAAATTGGTTGTTAAGCTGTTAGCATAGTGATTAGGCTTCTAGGACAGTTCATACACATTTAAAAAAGAAAAACCTTACAATGGATTCAAAGTAAATAAAAGTAGTTCTAGTAGTCCTACTTATGACTTCTAGTTCTTTTAATAAAAACAGCTAACTTACTGAGTCACTAGCATGTGCCAGAAATTGTTCTTAGACTTTTACATGTATTATTGCCCTATGTAATTATCACAACAGCTCTAGAAGAAGGGAAAGGAAGCACAGAAAAACTAAATAAGTGAAGCTAGGCATAGAGCTAGCAAATAGTGACTCCATTATACTCTATTCTCCATGTTGTTTCACAGGGTATCATCAGTAACACTGGTCCTTCAAGAAATGCTTACTGAACACCACAAGAAAACACATTTGGAGTCCTAAATGTGAGTATCTCCCCTTCTTCATGAACTTTGGGGAGGGAAATGACAAACTACTGAAGAAATCCTACAGGGTAGCAGTAAATGTTTTATATTCCGTAAACTATATTACCAGTTGCTAAGAAAGTACTCCCTAGGTCAAACGTTTCATACGGTTCAAAGAAAATAAGTCATCTTCTCAGAAAAAGCATGAAAGTATAATGGGCTTGGACATGGAAGGAAGTCTGTTTTTATAAACCCTAGATTAAAAAATGGCCAGAAGAGAAATAAAGTCTATGAACCTTCCCCTTGAACTTGGGTAGATTCATTAATGATGGAAATGGCATTATAAAATAAGCGTGATGATGCAGTCAAAAAATAATCGTATCTTACTTCACGTATCTAAAACAACATATCAAACTTGTATGCTATACTATTTCACTTCTCTCCAATATTTGAGTGATGAATGTTTTACTTTAAATATAAGAAAGGAATACATGGTACTTTGGGAAATTCAAGACGTTTCAAATTAATGAACTGATGAAATCACAATCTGAACAGCACACACAGAGCCAGGATTTTATTCAGTTTCCCATCCTTGCTCTCAAGTATCTACAGACGCCTTTTTTTCTTTTGAAATTTTAAATATTCCTCATCAGAATTCTATCATCAACCATTTATCTTTATTTTATTCAGAATATATACTCAAAAGTACTCCTTTCACCTCAAAATAACCCCCTTTATGTCCAAATTTTACTCATTATATCTTTCATCCTAACCTAAAAAGAAGGGTCTACTCCTAAGTTTACTGAAAGAAGCCATGAGTCATCCACTCTATAGCTCTTCCATTTAGTTAAGTTTATTTCTCTTTCCTATCCTGGGCAGTCCCAAGTGGCTCAGACGTCCATGATGAACAGCAAGTTTTTAATTTTTCAATGGATTCCAAAGAATAATTCAAGTATACAGGCTGGCAATGACAGAGTTTTACAAATCCCCCATCATCTTGATGGCAATGCAATGTTGGTATTTTCTACCAGTTTCCAAATATATAAAACAGAATCTCATTCCCACTACTTATGTTCTAGAAAGTCACCCAAATCCTAAATTGGCAAATGTAGAAGCACTGCTCTTAAAGGAAACAGAGTTAGGTTTCTGTGTTCTCTATTCACAGCATTTTCATCAACCCATCAATACATAACCCTGTTTTCTGTTTTTCAGTTTAAAGATACCTTATTTAACATATATTGTTGGTTCATACTAATGAACTCACATCCAACAGCATTATAACCCCTGTGGAACATAGCTTCTCTGACACATTTACTTTCTCTAGAAGACACACCACAGCCTTCTTGCACTCAGGAACACGAAATAGCATTTCAGCACTTTACCTGGGGATGATTTTAAAACAGCTAAATAAAAAAAATTAAATAAATAAAATAAAACAGCTAAATCACCAACAAAAAACACAAAAATGTGTCACTACATATAGTACAAAAAGGACACTTGTTTACAAAATGAAAGCTGAAATAAGGAAGACTGGGAACATACACTTTTTTGCCATTCTATGCATGTCTGAGAATGACCACTAAAGCTCCAGAGTACTGGTTTTAGGATAAAAAGAAGTTTTCATTGGCTCAGGTCATGATCGCATGGCTCGTGAGTTTGAGACCTGCATCAGGCTCTGTGCTGACAGCTCAAAGCCTGGAGTCTGCTTTGGATTCTGTGTCTCCCTCTCTCTCTGCCCCTTCCCTGCTCACTCACTCTCTCTCTCATTCTCTCTCTCTCAACAATAAATCTAAAAAAAAATTAAAAGTAAGTTTTCACAGGCCACCTGAGTGGCTTGGTTAAGTGCCCGACTCTTGATTTCAGCTCAGGTCATGATCTCATTCATGGTCAAGAGACTGAGTCCTGAGTCAGGCTTTGTGCTGGTCATGCAGCCTGCTTGAGAGTCCTTCCCTCTCCCTCTTCCTACCCGCCATGTGCACATGCACACAAGCATGCTATAATAATAAATATAAATAATAAAAAGTTTTCTCAAGTAGGCAAATTTGCAAATACAGAATCTATACATAATGAGATCAACTATAATAACTTTCATTAAAGGGGCTTCAAGTCACATTAACTAAATCAAGTAACATTTTATTTCTATGATGAAAAATATGTCCTATAGTGGTATTAAAAATATGGAATCTCCAGATGGATATCTTAACAGTCTTCTGTGTATCTATGTATTTAGGGATCAGTATACACATGCACGGAATCTTTCAATCCAATATATAAAGGTACTAAACATATTTATTCATATATGCAACAACTATTTACTGAATAACTACCATGTGCCAGACATAAAATTAGGCACTATAAATCCCGAAGAAAAATATAAAGTAATTCTCTTGTGGAGTTTACATATAATGTTGGGAGGAAAAAAGCCAATCAATCATCAGAGGACCATAAGGGCTATGAAGAAAAATAAAGCAAGATAAGGGATAAAGGAACTGCAGGTATTATCTTAGGGTAGCCAGGAGTGTCTGAGGCAACATCTGAACCTAGATCCAAATGAAATGAAGGATTCAACCTTATACAGGAGAACACCAGTCCAGGGAGGAAGGAGCAAGCACAAAAGGTTCTGGGGTACAGATGTGCTTGGCATACTAACAGTCATCAAGGCCAAGGTGGCTGGAGGGTAAGGAAGAAAAAGGAAATGAATAAGCTAAAATTAAAGAGATAGAGAGCAAAACTAAATAAACAAATAAAAAGAGGTAGCCAGAGGTCAGATCTTACAGAGTCTTGTAGGTCATCTAAAAGCTTTAGATTGGGGTGCCTGGGTGGCTCAGTCGGTTAAGTGTCTGACTTCGGCTCACGTCATGATCTCACAGTTCGTGGGTTCAAGCCCTGCATCAGGCTCTGTGCTGACAGCCAGCTCAGAGCCTGGAGCCAGCTTCAGATTCTTTGTATCCCTCTATCTCTGACCCTCCCCTGCTCACAGTGTCTCTCTCTCTCTCAGAAATAAACTTAAAAAAAAAAAATTTTTCTTAATAATAAAAAAAAAATAAAAGCTTTGGATTAAATTCTTACTGTGATATGAAGGCAGTGGGGAATTTTTAAATAAGACACTGACAATACCCATGCTGTATGTTTTAGAAGGGCCATGCCACTGAAAAGCTGAAAACAACTGTGCAGGAGGAGGTCGAGTGTAAAGAGATGCTTCTGAGGCTGCTTCAGTAAACCATGCACGAACTGATGGTGGTTTAGATCAGGGTCCAGTAGGGAAGGTAGTGAAAAATAGTCAGATTCAGAATAAAAAGTATTTCAAGATCAAGTAACTTTCTTAAAAATGAACTGATGAAATACTACCTAATCATAAATTGAGCACTTTGAATATCACATAAGCTGAATATACACTATTTTTTAAACGATTTTATTTGCTGTATGGTGGAGTTATCAACATAATTTTTTTTACCTGTGAAGTGTCATTTCATTTTCTTGATATAGTTCAGTCATTACTTTAAGTTTCTGCTGAAGCTTTTGATTCTCGCTTTCAAATTGTGTATTTTCTGACTGCAAAGACGCTTGTTCAGTCTGGAGATTTTTGATACATTCTATAGAAAATTGTTAAAAATCATAATTAATGGAGTAAATATTTTGAGATGCACATTCATATTTTATAAAGATAAAAATTACCAAAAATAATAAGCTATTAATAAAGTAAATTCTTTCCAACAAGAACAGAAAGTTTATAAGGTATTTGGTTCACCTAAATGCTTTTTAATATTTTAATTAAAGAACTGTATAAACTTTTATAATTTTTTTATTAGGCCAAGATTTCCTAAAACATTCAGTATTCTAATTCTAGCATTTAATTTTCAGTTAGGGAACCAAAAAACAGTAAAATTTCTCAAGAAGGTTATGGAGATGAGAGTTCTGAAGGGAAATATTTTAGTTAAACATTTCCTATGGAACTACTTCCACATGATGAATATTGCCTATTTTTATCTAGTAAAAAATTTACCAGTAAATAACTTCTAGCCAGACCTCCTTTTAAGCAAAATTTTGATATATGGAATAGCTCAGGCCAGAAATTTGGATCTTCTGATAAGAAATGTTACAAAATCATGTTAGCTTAAACCAGGTAAGATTGGAGAGAGGTGTCTGGATGGTTCAGTCAGTTAAATGTCAGACTTTAGCTAAAATCACAATCTGCTGGTTTGTGGGTTCGAGCCCTACATTGGCCTTGGTGCTTGGGATTCTCTTTCCCTCTCTCCCTTGTCCCCCACAATTCTCCCTCTTAAGATAAATAAATAAATCCACTTAGGATTCTGTATCTCCCTCTCTCTCTGTTCCTCCCTCACTCATGCTCTGTTTCTCTCTCTCTCTCTCTCAAAAATAAATGAACATTAAAAAAAAGAAAAGACAAGACTGGGGAGAAAAATACCAGTTTTAACTCGTTAACTGCTAACCCACCTAAAAGAACTATCTATAAAAACAAAAATTAATAATTCTAAATAATGAGTGCTATATAATTAGTACATCAGTTGTTTTTAAAACCTCATGTCTCTTCCAACATAACCCCACCTCTGACTTCCTCTAAGATTGAGGTGCCATATCCCAAAACGTGTATGAATCATCACCACAAATCTTTTTTCTTTTCTTTCCTTTTTCTTTTTAAAGTAGACTCCATGTCTATGACCTGAGATTAAGAGCTGCATGCTCTACTGACTGAGTCAGTCAGGTACCCCCACCACAAATCTTAATACAAGATAAAACTTACTCTGTTTCAAATCACAAAATCATACTAACAAGCATTAAAATTTTAGTAATCATAGGTAATGGCATACTAATTATTGTAATGGTATATAAACATCTATTAATTAAACATATCTATCAAAAGGATAGTTTAAAATAAATATGCTACCATTAAATGATTTTAATGTTACACCTGTCTTTCCACAGAAATTTTTAAATCTACATCAGAAGAAATCCGTTGACCTAGGCTTTAAGCCATTGCCAAAAACAGTCACTTAACAGAC